TTCAGCCTTTTGAGTATGGCCCTTCCTTCATTGCGAGAAGGATCAGGCCATAGTAAACCACGCTGGCCAAGTGCGGGTTGACGGAGTTCTCATGTCTTTCGAAAACTTGTCTCAGACATACAGGTTTCCTCATGATGTTTTCCTTCACCGTAAGAGGTAGCCATGTTGGAAATGATTCGCACATGAAAATATTAGAGGTGTTACACCCGGGATATGAACCCGCTTCACTAGGATTCTCACTAGCGTTACCACTTAGCTACCACTACCTTATCTACGAGTATATCTACACTATTTTATTTTATTCGTCATCTAATAACTGTAGCTTAAACTCACTATCGGAGTATTATTATAAATGCGAAAGTTTGCATTTTTATTACTGCTTCACACTAAAAGGGATGGACGGATGTGGATGAAAAATAAGTAAAATATGACTTCTTGGTTATAAATAAAATATAGACTAATGTACCGTAAAAGGAAAATGCGTTCGCTGGATTTATGTATAAAGATTTCTAATGAGAGTGATAATATAAGCTATTTTTAACCACCGACGCAAAAAGAGAGGTGTTATAAGTTTGACGTCGATGTCTGTCTGTCTGTGTGTGTGTGTGCCTGTCTGTGGCATCGTAGCTCTCAAACGGATGGACCGATTTCGATGCGGTTCTCTTCATTTGAAAGCCAGTTTCCTTGCAGTGGTTCTTAGCTATGTTTGGTTAATATCGGTAAGAGTATCAGCTCTTTTCCAAAATGATGTAAGGCATTTTGGCGTATGACAGTCGATTAAGTGCATCACGCGTGCTAGTGTAATCGTTAAATGATAATTAATTTGCATAGAGGATTTTTAAATTTTTTATTATCGTTACATGTCAGCGAAGCTGTGGGCGATACAGCTTTTACAATATGTAATGTTATCCCACTGAATTCAGTCACGGTGCGGCGGTCAGTGTCATTCAGACTATGGGGTAGATATTATATAGAAATAGATATAATACAGAGGTAGATATTATAACGTGTACTTTTTTCCTTTAACTCTCATAATCTGATGGGATATGTCATGTCAGGGGAGAGATCAGATCCAGGACCGACGGCTTAATGTTCGAGGCATGAGAGTGTAGACAATATCAGGGTTCTAATTCTAAGCTGCTGGTATTTAACCTCCTTCTCCCATAACCAAGTTTGCTGTTTACAGCAAACTTGGTTGTGGGAGAAGGAGGTTATACTTTAGCATTCGAAGCGTTGGGAATAAAAAAATATCGCAAAAATTGTAGATATTTATTAAAATGTAAAATATTTGCGTAAATCTGTAAAGTATAAGTAAATTTTGTTTAAAATCAAAAAAATAACCAACGTATTACGTACTCAATTCCTGTGTATATTTCCCTTTTTTGTGAATGTACTCAATATATTCGCAACCGTGAACCGATTTTCGCGTTTTTCTTTAAAAAAAGTTTTCTTTAATAAAAAAGTTTATTTATTTAAAAAGGCTTTATGGATTAGTCCACGTAAATTAAAAAAAAAACACTAAGGTAGAAAAATTTCATTTAAATTACATTTTAAAGACGCAGTATCATTTTAGTTAAAACGTAATTATATTTTCCCGCAACCGCAAAGAAGTTGTAAAAGAAATCAAAACATATATTTAGAGCATCAATGTCATCAGCAGATTAAACGTCAGGGGGAAGATCGAGGATCGAAGCTAGGGGAGCGTAATTGCACAAGTTGTATGTCAAGTAGTGTTTTAATAGATTATGGGGGTTTTTATGGGGTTCATTGAATAACATGATTTCCCTTGTAAGTATTATCCGTGATATCTTGAGTTTAACCTGTCTTATAAAGACTTGATCCTTATTATCATTGTGGAAATAGGTTTTTATTGAATCTATACCAGAGTGTTTTATTTCAGTTTCCAAAGTGCTTTTAAATACATATTTTATACATTATTAATAAAATAAAACTTGTAACATTAATTATACAAGATTAGAAAAACCTATTTTTTTACTAACGTAGGTACTTACTACAAGCGAAGCCGCATGTAGAAACTAGCATGTAAATAAAATTAAATATAGTGCAAAAAATTGCAATTTTATAAGACAAATGTTTCGCATAACAAAGAAAATATTGCTGCTAACTTATGCTTATCCACGTCCCCTTATATTTAGTATTAGAGTGTCACTTAGTTACACTACAATATATCGATACATCGTGATAGGATCCCCTATCCATCAGGATCATTGTGCCACCTTAATAGACTCCCGGACAATAATGAAATCGCACTTTTTCGATTAACGTGTCGAATCGGACCCTAAACCCGGTAGAAAACAATATAATCAGCTACCATTCAACACGGTATCAACATGTGGACTATTTAGAGTAATGCAGACGTTACGTAAGACACAATTATGAATATATATATATATATATATATATATATATATATATATATATATATTACTAAATAGGTATATAGATTTCAGTGATGTTTTTTATAAATGAATAATTTACCCCGCCATATCATTCATATCATAAGCGAAGTAGGGACAAACGGTAGTCTATTTCCGTCTCCATGATGTAATCTATATTTTTGCCAAATTTCATCGACATCTGTTCAGCAGTTTAAGCGTAAAAAGATAACAAACAAATAGTGGTGTGAAAACAAAATTAAAAATAATAAAACGGTCGAGCAGATCACAAAATGGAGGACTTTACTATTGCTAGCTAGCGTACCTATATTATTTTGTGTTAATAAACACTTGTTTAAAACAAATATTTTGGCAAAGGATATAAAAGTATCTTTACTTTACAATTCACGAACATAAAATAAAACATACATCCAAACTAAACACCTTCTCCTTTTAAAGTTGTTTAAAATAAAAAATAAATATATCATCCAGTCAAACGATTCGGTAGTCCGTCTTGACTGGAGTCTACGCTGCCTTTGGCTGATATTAAAAACGGTGATTGAGCATTTTCGCGGGCAGGTATGGAAACGTTTTAACGAACCATTGTGATTTTCGTATTCGATTATCTTGATCGATGATTTATGTAGCCCTGTTTATTGGTCTTTCACGGTTAATATGTGAATGTTTTGTTTTGTCGGCATTCGGCATTCTCTTGAATTCCACTAAAAAATCTATGTGCAACGGCTTTTTTTTAATTTCTATAGCTGTTATATCGTTATTTGCAAAATCTATGTACAAAATTTGAACCTTCGAAATATATATTTTAAGAATTAGCATCAAGCTAGTATCGAAGCCAATAAAACTGTATATTAAACAAGCGACGGTAGGTACGTTTTAAAGGTTAGTATAGATTTCTCAGAGATGAGATATTTTCTTGCAGTTATTTACCCGGATAACCAGCTATCATCTTACTAAATTTCATCAAAATCTGTCTAGTGGTTTTCTCGTGATACTTTCCCAGGCAGACAGATAGGCAGCCAAAAATTTTAAAAACTATATTCGATGTCTGCATCGATAATAATGACTATTTCAATACGATTTTCCAAAAAATATTTAGTTTACAGATTCGACTCAGTTAGAATTTTATTATATGTATATATTTAGATGATTTTAAGCCGAAAATCTAAATATCATAAAAAATCTACAAAATCTCAATAAAAAATCTTAACAGCCTCTATTTTTCCCATATTTTCTCAAAATCGAAACTCCGATTGGAAATCAATGGCCAACAATATTGTTTTATTGCTCCATACATCACATATAAATAGATTTCACTTGTAAACGAAATACGTATAAGTCATGTAATAAAATAGTGTACAAGGGCCCGCCGTAAACCCAACGCTTGATGTCGCGGTGTCCAGCTAATCCTGATTTAGCATGCGGCATGTATGTTATCCGTTAACGGGCCGTACACATGGTACTGTAGGATGGAGAATGAATTTATTATTTAGCCGATTTTCATATAAAAGAGGTTTTGTATTTGAGCTTTGTGTTTATTTTTTATATTAGTAGGCTTTAACCGACTTTAATATAAAACGGGTTTTGTGTTTTGTTTATTTTTTATCTTAGGGTGTTTTTTTTTTGTATTTTGGTATAAACTGATTTATTAAATAGGCAGATGTTTTTATTTTAAACTTTGATAATATTATTAATGTGAATGTGTTGGGTAGCTTTACACGCCCCCCAAGGATTTTATGAAATTTGGCAAAGACAGAATGGATTATGCCTCTACTAAGTTATTTCTTCATTGTTAACAAAAAATGAACCAATATTTTTTAGTAATGCACATAAAATTAATAACTTCTCCAGTCTCTCAGAAAAACTAGACAAAGGACAACATAACTTACCATTAACACAAACTTCATTTAACAAAACCAATATCCATATTATAATACTATTGTAATATTCATCGCTAGTTAGCATCGACAGTGTGTATCGCGTTAAAGTATTTTCTCCACAATATTGTGTACGGCTCACTTCATTAAAAAATTTAAAACTCCAAGCATTATTCGAAAGCTTTGTTACGTTTGATTTGTGTATCTGCCCGTGAAGTACAATATGCATTCCACCGTATTTCATTCATATTACATTACGATAGAGTCTCATTTAGTACTTTGTATTCATCATAAACGTATTCAATTTTCAGTGTATCTAGCTTTTTGATATAAAAGTATTATAAGCGGCTTAAAAAATTAAAGATGGTGCTGATTTTTCAATATTTTGACGTATCGTAGGAATGGGTATGGATTAATCGATATAATAGCTTCGCGATAGGTGTAATGATTTATATGTAAATAGTTAAAATATTGGGTTTAGTCTATTCATATTGGATAGTCATCGATGTTAATAAACACATGATAAATTTTTGGAATATATTATAATATAATTATTGGTTGTAAAAATCTGACTTGTAGTTCATTTTACGTTAAGTAACAAAAGTTTTCTTATAAGATAATCCAGACTCTATTGTCTACATCGGTCATATCCCTTGAGTCATATTAATAATTGTCATAAGTGGTTAATTTTACGCGATTTTTGTTCCAGGTCGGTTCTTCAATGGACATGTCGAAATATTCAATCGAGGATAAATATAGGAGCTACAGCATGTATCCTGACCCGTCACGAGGATATCTAGATTCAGCTGCACTTTCTAAAGCGTATATGTATATGGATCAACAACAGCAACGCTCTTACCCCATGGATATTAGCAAGATGTACTCTGAAGCATCAGTGGCTATGGCAGGTTTGACTTCCACTGTGAATTCAGCATCCAGCCTCTCTCCTAGATCTCCGGCGGAATCTCCCGACACACAGAAGACACAAGATCGCGTAGAAGGCAGTTCCTCATCAGGATCGAACCCATCACCCTCCTTACCCTACTACCAGTCCTCGTCCAGTCTCCTCATGCCACAGTACCCTGGCCAGTACCCACAGAACACGCAAGGTGGGCCAGAGTTTAGAAGACCATTAACAGTCATATTCTGACCTGATGCTTAGTGCACTGAAATTCCTGAGTGAATTTCGTATGTTGGTTTTTGAGATTTTATTTTCTTGTATTTATATGCAATTTTGCTACGCCCATTGTTATATTTTTTGTAGTTTTAGACGTATATTCCAAAAATTCTTTCCTTCGAGAAAAAAATTACGTGAGCTACCAACTCACCCCTTTTACGTTCACGATTTAACGTGATTTCTCTAAAGTTCCTTTATTTGACTTATAGATTTAAATGATAATAATTTAATTTTAGTACGTAGATTTAAAATTGAATGTAAATTGTATTGTAAATATTGAAATACAGTTGCAAGTCTTTGTGGCTCCAAAATTGTTCTAACGTTTCATTCAACGCGACGTTTTCTGTAACAAATTTATAGAATATTCACATTTTGAATGCCACAGACACTTTTAATTGTTAGTTATTATAAAGAAAGTCCAACTTACAACGACTCAATACATAAATAATTATTATAATTTAAATACTGTAAATAAACTAAGGTAATAATAGAATCTTTTAAGAATATTCAACATTTTTCTTGCAAACTTAAATGTTTAGAATTTTTGTTTAGACTGATACAACGCTTAAAATATAAAGCGATTAGTTCAAATAATTATCTTTATATATATAATTCTTCTGTGAGTGTGTATGTCACTGAACTTCTCTCAAACGACTGGACCGATTTTGATGAAATTTTTTGTGTGTGTTCAAGGGGATCTGGGAATGGTTTAGATTCACAATTTGAATAATAATTTTCATCAAAAAAATTATTAAAAAAAGTTTGAAATTTTCAAATTAAAGACGTGTAGACAGGACAACGTCTGTCGGGTCCGCTAGTATAATATTATAATTTTGAAATACTTTTGTGTATTAGTCGCACTTTGACGTTGCATTTATGAGATGCCATACTTAAAATTATTCACAAAAATTGACAAAATATTTTTTTTATTCTTTATATTTTGATCATTTTTTTTCTTGTTTAAAGAAAATTTTTTTAGATGTTCATGAAAAATTAGGAAACGTCGAAATGATTGAACAATTTATGTCAATTTTTTTATAAGGAAATTTTTTTGATAAAAAAAATGTTTTGAGTGTGTGAGAAATCCTTACATTTTTTTTAATTGGCACTTTTTGTTAAAAGTTGTGATTTATTGTTTCGTGTAAATTATTTATAAAATTAATTCTGTATAGTGATATCGATATGTACAATGAGACTTAGAATATATAACTATTGAAAATTACGTATTACATTATATTAAAATCCTTGAAAAAATCGCATTTAGTTCTTTTATTTTACTTTTACTGACTTTTGATAGGACCTATAGTAGATTAAAGCTAATGTTAAAAAAATCTCCTTAAAAGCTTATTTTTATTTAATACATACAATTTTTTTTAAAAGTTTATGTTTTGTAGATCAAAGTCACTGTTGATTAAAATATTTATAAATGCATACATATAACTTATAATTTAGAAAAATATGTACAAACAAAGTTACCAAAATTATTTTTTAAGATACTAAAATTAAAAATTCAAAATGAGTTTTTTTTTATCTGAACTTTAAATCTATTTTTATTTAGGGACAACAACAAGTATGACCCATTCTGGTCAAAAGAAATAAAAAATAATTACCACATAGCATGAACAAGCGTCTTCTTCCTTGACATAAGCGAAAAGTGATTCAAGTAAGTATATTAAAGAAATATTATCATGTTTTCCTTCTAATGCCATTGCCGTATTGAGAGTGTTAGACAGGTTTTAGATTTATATTTTATTAAATATAAGGGCACAAAATATGAGTTTGGCTTACTGGTTCCTACCCTATAGCAGAGCGGGCAAACTTTCGCACTAATATTTTCACAGTTTATTACCTTCTGAAATTATTATCGGTTTTATATATTAATTATGCACTAGGATCTTTATTACTATTTTTTTTAAGTTTAATATATGGTATAATCAGAAGAACGGCCTAAATACAGAAAAAATATTAGAATAAACAAATAACAGTATAAAACTAGAATATTTCTGTTCTTAAAGAATAAATCAGTAAAATATTAGTAAATTGGAAGTGAATGTAAATAATGTAAACGATTAATATAAAATACATCTCATGCTATTGCTATTGGAATTAAATCAGGCGTTTTGTTTAATATAATACACATTTCGTTATTATTTTTAGATAACGAATAAAATAAATTAAAATAATATTCAATTACTAAACTTAGTATAATATTTCTATGTCATGCTAAAATATTATTTTATAAAAAAGAATGGTGATACAATTTTATATTTGTATGTGTTTCAAGAGCTTTCGCATACATCGTCAGTGTTACGTCTAGTATAGCACTTTAGGTCAAGGAAAAAAAATAGAAAAGGTGAAAAATACGGCGGGAAAGGTGACAGAGCTTGCAGTATATATATTTCCTCAGTGTCCTTTCTTGACTTTTCTTTACCTAATCCAAGAAAGCACGTAAGATACAAATTTTGTGGTAGGTAAGTTTTTAGTGTCAGAAATTATCCTCTTCAACCAACAAAATATTTAACATCGAAAGGCTCCTTGAAACTAAGTACCTATTCAAGTATTGGAAATCAATTTTAGCTTACTTTTAAGTAATGTATTGATGAGATATCTCATTTCTGATCTGATGATAAAGAAGAATCTAATGAAACTTGATTTGATGAGACATTACAAATTGGTTAGAGTTCCTTCATTATTTTTGGTTTTATAACTAAAATTGATGATTGATGATGAACTTACAACCGATTTTTGTCAACTTTAGAGATAGTTGTGTTGTCAATTTTAGCCAATCTTCTTTGAGAAGTTCTGCATGCATTGCATATGTGCACACCGCTATGATTATTGTATCTGATTGCTACATATGGTCTAGCTATAAGGTAGTCGCGTCTGATATCAACCACAGACCGATGTTGCTCCTCAAAGTAAAAAAATAATTCTTGACTGGAGCGTTGCTGTGTGTGCTTTTTGTATAACTTCATTGACACCAATTTAACAACAAAGTCGTGTAAATGTAAAATCATTTAAACTCTTACATTTTTATATTAAATCCATACTAATATTATAAATATAAAAGTGTGTTTGTTTGTTGTCCTTCTTTCACGTCGAAACGGAGTGAAGGATTTGTGTGGAGATAGTTAGAGGGCTGGAGAGTAACATAGGCTACTTTTTACCCCGGGAAATTTTTAAAGAAAATTCTGCTAGTTATAAATAAATACAAAAATAGCTAAAGATTTCATCCCGTTGGTATGTCGCAACTCTTTATATGTAAAATAAATGCAGCTAACTTCATCATGTCGCTTTTTGGCTGTCGCTGTGCGAGCGCATCGTAAAAATTTTACTCCCATATTTTTTTTACGTGCCAAAAAAAGTATAACTTCAATATTTTCAACTACATTACTTTCAAAACTAAAATAGCACTATAAATATAATATTAGAGTACCAATTCAATTAATGTTAGTTTAGGATCACCCACGCCATAACAAAAGTTTATTTATAATGTCATTATCAGTAATTTTGCTTTTTTAAAACGATAAAATAATAAGTTCTGCACAATTCTATCATGACACTAGGTCTAAATGAATAGGATCTATTTTTCATCGTACGTACTAACCCCTGTATTTTTTAATAAAATATTCGTTGATAGATATCATTGCTTCGAGGGTAGTGATTTGGCAGAAAATAAACAAGTGGGCTGTCTTTTGTTGGGCAAAATACGGTGGAATAACATAAACAAAGCGGACCCTCTCATAATGGTAGGTGAGAGTGTACAGAGTGTTTAAAAATGCAAATGTTAAAAAATATTTTTAAGTCACCCAAAAAATTACAAAAGAATTAAATTTTTGTTAATATTATTAACCAGTATTAGCCCGAGGCTCTGTCCGTGTAGTTTAAATATAGCGAATTTTCATAGAAATTTTCAATCTTTTTTACACTCCTTTAGGCTTAATGAAGTAAAACGCTAATACCATCTGGTCTAGGTCTTATTGTTAGGTATAAAAACAGTGTTAAATACTTTTCATTTAGGTACCTACTCCGGTCCTACCGAATTACAAAACTTACAAGGGAAGCGTGCATGTGTCATCTACATAGTCTGAATAAAAAATACCTTATCATTTGTACCTATATAAATATAAAAAAATATATAAAAGATTTTATCGCTAATATTATTAACTAAACGGTTAAATTATTTTTATTAAATATTTTTAATTACTAATTTTAATTTTAATGAGACGCCATAACGCTAAAACATTCTCACAAAATTTGTTACAGGACAGCAGACTTAATTTTAAGACCTAGGTTCTACAAGCGGATTCAGCGGGATAATTGAATAACCTAAGTATATTACCTACAAGGTTACGTGGGAAGATAACTTTCTAAAACTGGTTTTTTAAAGGAAAGCGTAGACTGGACCAGTTATTATTAAAAAAATTAAATTCTAAATGTGCAACAAACAACAAAACACAATTTATCGTAGACACATTTTTTTGACTTACATGACGACACGTTTAGCTCAGTTTGTAGTGACCCTACTTGCTGTGCCAGCGGTCGCGGTTTCAAGTCCTGCTGAGGGCATTCCTTTGGGAGATGACGAATGTTTGTACTGCAGTCATGGGTGTTTCTATTTATAATATGTATGTATATAAAGTAATAAATGTGTAGTGTAATAACTATCTCGTATCCATAACACAAGCCTCGTAGCTTACCATGGAACTAGATGGTGCTGTGTGTTAATGTCCCAACATATTTATTTTTTTATTATTTAAATCATTCTGTATATAAACTAAGCTAACTCCTTATTATGATAAAACGAAGGGAAATAAATCGGTGTCGGAGGCAGGCTCGTTTGTTTTCACTACAAACACCATCGTGACTAATAAATACACACTGATTTCCTTAACACTTCAATTGTAATTGATAAAAAGATATTTGTACTTTAAAAATACGAGTATAATAATCTATATCTACCTATAGTT